TGCCTAAAGGCTGCAATTCATCTTTGTCCAAAAGGATCCCACTTATTATTGAAGCAAGCTAGCATTCGTAAATTTAATCTTTAAAATATTTCAAAATGGAGATCTTCAATTCACTCAATTTTGATAATTTCTGCATCAAAATTGAATGAGTTGACACATCGTCATTCTATAATGACCTCGTATTAATTTTGCCAATCTTGATGTTACTGTTTTGTTTTTTTTTTTTTTGGGTGGGGAGGAGCGAACTTAATTTATTGTGGGTAAAAACTAATTTAATAATTACCTATCTACATAGAATATACAGGGTTGCTAGTAATAACAAAATATCTAACAAAAACCCAGTAACGTAATCACGCTGTCACGCCAGCATGAACACTTACGCTTCGTTAATCTAAAAGTTATATGAAAAAATATTTATCCCGCACGTGTGAGTAGCGCCCATTGATGCGGCGTCAGGCGACGCAACAACCGACAACGAAATGACAAACAATAGCATGTTTAGTCTTTTGTCGTGAGTCGAGCTCGGGACTCCTCTGTCTTGACGTGACATCCTCGCATTGTCTGCGTAATCAGAAACATTGACCGGCGTCGAGAGGGTTGAGTGACGTCAAGTGATGCATGGTAGCAATGCCTGCCTACTTTTTATAACACCACTTAAGATAGAATTTTTGGAATTTTCAAACAATAATATTATATGGAATATAGAGATTTAAATAAAGAAATATATACTAAAAAAACCAATATTTGAAACTTAAAAGAGGTACCTACTCAATATTTTACTACTGTGATAGAATCCTTGAGATATTATAAAAATATAAACAAAGTTTGTATCTATGTATACAAGAATAATGCATCAACATCATATCAGCCGTTGCTGTCCACTGTTGAACATATGCCTTTTCCAATTAAAAGATTTTGCTAGTAGTTACCACGCTTAACAAGTGGGTTGGCAACCGCAGTTAGGTGCGAGAGGGGGGGAGGCGGTTGTAAGTAATGCGGTCTACTAGTCCCATTGCTAGCAATATACCTTAACAGGTCGACCTCCACGTAGCCCCCCCTGCAAATCATCGAGTTCCAAATGTATTTATCACGATGAGCTAACTAGTTTTCTCATTCATTTTCGCTTATCATCCCCCACTGGTGCCCCACCGGGGTTATCATCCATAAAAAAACCGCAGTTAGGTTTTAATGATATTTTAAGATGGAAAATAGTGCATACCTGCTATTTTTTCCTAAAATAAATGGTTAACCATATTGAATACTCGATAAGCATTCTGGCGAGACATCCAACTATCTATGTATAGTACTGTTCCCCTAACGGCGATAATTATATAGTCTAAAATTTTGCTTAACACTATCTGGCACTATGTTATGTATGATTATGCGACAGACGCGGCGGGTCGCTGCGCTGCATGCAACAAAATAAACATAAATCTTAATATGTACACCTATAAACTCATAATAATATTATAAAGAACTACTTTTATGAAGACTCTTTACACTGTGATAATAGCACAATATAAAGGACTACTTATTCCTTACACTGTCATATTAGTAAATGCAAGTAAAGAATACCGAGAAGATACCTTGTCTTGGGAGGTGGTCAGACCAAGAAACTAGCTTTGGTGTGATAACATTTCAGAATTTAGAATCTCTAAGCATTTTATTTTGATTTGATTCAGAAACATATAAAGTACCTTTATAATTTCCTTGCCTTGAATGAAATGCAAAATCCTTCTTAGATTACTTTAAGTTGTTAACAATCGCTTATTTCAAATTACAAAATTTTCCGTTTCAGTTCGAATTGTATTTTATTCGTTAGATTTCAATTATTTTTGTCCTCTTTGTTTACAAACATAGAATATGAGTAAACCTAAAATTACGAGCATCATCTCGGCAACTCGCCAATAGAGGGCGCTAGTGACAGAAATAGATATGTCACTGGCCAGTCGCCTCGATGGTACCGCAAGAATTATTGCCTCTGCGGTAGGCATTTCCGATCTTCCGTTTTAATGTATGTGCTATCTATAAATTTTGTAAATAGAATAGAAATAGAAATATGTTGTTTAAAATATTAATAATATTTTATAGGAAATCCGGAATTTAACTGTGATTTTGAGAGATTTTTATTATTAATAATATCATCATAATTACACAAATTACATATAAATAAATAACAACAATTTTGAGATCAGCATTGCTCATCAAACTTTCAAAAGATAAATACCTATCTTTAAAAAAGTATCTATTTCCCTTAAACATTTCTAAGCTAATTTCCGCAGCATATTAGAAAACGTGCTGAAAAGTGGTAGAAATAGATTTTACTTATCGAGGCGCTACACTACTGCAAGTGACAACTGAAATGTTATTTACATTTCAGTTAACGGTGAAAAAAAATATGTAAAAAAAAATTAAAATAAACACAATTATAATAATCTTTATTAATTTCCAACATAGATGTGTATAAATTCTAAGCTCTGACTTTTTAGACGATAAAATTTTACCAGAGGGAGACTTTGTACAAAAGTTGTTTTTCAACCGTGAAACAGTTGTTTGCATGGCTGTGTTTCGGTTTGAAGGGTGGGGTATGGCAGTGAATTTACAGGGCACAGAAAAATAACACCTGAGTCCTCAGGAATGGCAACGCATAGGGGTATCATGGGCGAAATAGTATACTCTGTTATGTTCATGGTCTGCTCATGTCTATAGGTAACGGTTATCATTTTGCATCAGGTGGGCCGTCAGCTTATTTGACATTCTAAGTTGTATAAAAAAAATAGTAAATTTAAGAAGAGAAGCATAAGGGAACTTCTATAAACAGATATAGTAGATCTAAAATACCTCGACATAAATTTTTTTACAGTTTATATATACCGTACTTACTTTACACTACTGCCATGTAGCCTATAATATTATATATTTCCATCGCATTTCAAGACATCCTAATTATTAAAGTTTATAAATATAGTAGATACATTCGAAAAGCATTTCTCTCCTTTCCTCGACAGTCTGATGAAATACAAATAAACAGCATAAAATATGATACGTGATGGGAATGACGGCTGAAAAGAATAAATAGAAAAGAAAATCCCAACCCAATCCTAAATAAATGTGATAAAGGCAAGAAGCAAGCGATGGATCGATGTTTGAATGGATTACAGTGTTGTTATTTATTCTAGTACGAGAAGATACGGTATATGTTCTGAGTACCAATTGTTCACATTTTTTCGAAAGATTATATAGACAACTTAACGGCGCCTATAGCGGAAGTTTAAAAAAACAGAGACTTCCATACATACTTTAAGTAAACGTGAATGTGATCGTAACGTAAATTTATGTATAACTTATACTAGGAGCTCAACCGAAAAACAAAATATTCCGAACACAACCATAGTATACTTAGGCTTTTTACCATATTATCAAGCAATTTAAAACGGATAAAGATTAAAATAATAATAATAAAATGACTCGTGTTTTTAATTTTCGAAGTAGTGCATGCAATGTTATAATGGTACTAATTAATGCTATCTGCAAGTTTTATTTTCAGAAAACTTGTAAGATAATCTACCTTTTTCATCATAACAATATATCATTGCCTTGTACTTATAAAGCTGTACTATTAGTGTTTTACAAGAAAAAATGACAGTGATGTATAACGATAAATGCACCAAAATAACTTATTAAGTATTTCTTCCAAAAATAAATATTACCTACGTCTACTTATTTTCTTATCTTCCAGTAAGTAATAGTACTTATATTCTACTATAAAATCTTACTTTGCTGGCAGAGCTTAAATTCAGTCACGTTATAGATCTAAAAGAGGATTATTTATACTTGGAAAGTACATCTATTTATAAACGCGAGCTTAGCTCCTGATAGGGTTGTCACGATTAAAAGTAAAATTATATTTATTTTATAAATATCTAATATCGCTTCGCTATAGTTAAATAATACAATATTAGGTACTTGCTATTTTCTAAAAATCGTTTACTGGCAATTTGATTTATTTAAATATATTTATGTTATAAATTATATAGGAAGCCACTTATAACCAAATCAAGAACGGATAGCAAATAGCAAATTAATCTTACTATATAGGTGTAATTATAATCTTTAGGGATAATTCCTACTAGTATATAAATTCTTCAGTTTAGAGAGATCTTTATATATTAATAAGTCCCTTTGTTACAGCAAGTATCTGTATGTTTCATATTCGCATTTTTTTAAACAAATAAATAAATGTTCCAGATTTTTGTTGAACATCAGCTAACTGAGCAAATTAGTGTGATCCCGACATAGAATAGGCCCTTCTTTTCTCCTAGGTGTCATAAAAAACTACTAAGGGAATTTATGGTCAAAAGATGGGCAGCAGTGTCTCTCTTAAAGCACCACCAATAGCTAACTGTGGTTACCAATCCGCCTGCCAAGCATGCCTTTTACTGGCAAAACCACTCTTTATGGGGGAGAACTATGTTCAGCAGTGGACAGTAAACGGCTGATATGATGAATAAATTAACTCTCTAGCAACCTACGCAACTCCCTCGCTTCGCGTTGAGAAATCTGTTTACGCCGCAAGCATTCCCTTAATAACTAGCCAATATAATTACTGAGTAGGTTTAAATGTGAGCATATACCTGTTTTACAAATATCTGCTTAAGTTTTGATAAGACCCTAACTGTAGAGGAATAAAATACCTACGGGTCGTTAATAAATATCACAGAACTCTACACTTTCCTGAAAGCTAGATCGTTATGTTCACTACAATTGTAACAATTGCTTATTGTTTTGATTACCGTAACGTAAAATATTAATAATCACGATATTTAAAATAACACTGACATCTATCGTACATCGTATGAATTACCTTTAGTATAATAACGTTTATTTATACTACTTGATAACAGATGGCGCTATTTCATATTGTACTTTAAAACAATAATTGTAAATTTATTGAGATATTGAAAAATATATAGAAAGATATAAATAAGAATTCCACTTACCTATTAGCTGTTAACGTCGTCATTTCGACGTTATTACCGCAAGCCGTCAAAATTTCATCACAGCTGCTGCCACCTGTTATACGTTGTACGGAGTTTATAGATATGTCATCACTTGCGTTCTTCGCTAAGTTTGGAACATTTCCGCTAGGTGGCACTGTTCTTTGTTTTGATGCCTGCTTATGCCGGCTGAGAGCGAAAAATAGTGCCAATACTGCTTTAAGCTTCGCGTCCCGTATATCAACTGCCGTAACTTGTTCTAATCCCTGGACCTTTTGCGCGTGGAGAAAGTCCAAACAGCACTGTACGTTTTCCAACTGAAAAGAAAAAAATAAGTTTGACATTTTATTTTATAATATAGCTTCTAGCAGCAGCCAAAGGACTTTATAAATAGCCTAACCGAATTTATGAAATGATTTTATGAGTCAAGTCAGTTGGCCCATCGTGTAGAATTATTTTCATATTGTATATTTATTCATTGAAATCGAGAAATATAATTCCCTTATTAGTTTAGACAACTACAAAGGATTTTATAGTGATACGTCAATTTAAAATTTAGATTTATAAAGAAATTGCTTCATACAATACTAATTTCTATTATTCTACAAGATATACCTGCAGTGGTAATAACAGACGTAATATAACATACTTCTGCTGAGTCGCCAGTTCATAGCTTGAACTTGGCTTGACACGCTGCCGCGTGTCTAAATAACTAGCAAGTAAGATACCTTATACTAGGTACTATTATAATTCACCATTGACAATCTACGTGCAAAAATGTACAGGCAAGATCCCATATAAGTATATGCATTGGAAAAAATGTATGGCTTTATAATGGAAAGTAATCAGCGCCAAACACAGTGTGTTTATGTGGTACAACAAGCGAAATTAAAATGCGAAAGCTTAGCGTGTCTCTATTGTCATGCGCACGCGTTTCCGATCATACAAGAGGCGGTTACCAAATAAGTTGGTCCTTGAAATATACGTGTTATTATGCCTGTTACGTAAGTAACCATACTGATCTCATGATTTTAAACAATAGGGCTTTAAATAATTCGCTATTAAATGATCTTAAGGATTTCAGAAAGAGATTTTGAATGAAAGTTATATGCAAATGTTCCTGTCTTACTAGTTTTTTTGTTGTTACTGTACTGGCTGTATTTTGTTTGAAGGCATACAAGCATATTTTTTTAAAAAGCCGACAATACATCTACAGTTCCTCTGGTGTTGCAGGTGCTCATAAATAGCGATAGTAACCTACGACCGCCCACGGGCACCAGTCGGGTGAGCCGCGTATTCGTTTGCTCACTATAACTTTTAAAAATGACAACGTATGAGGATATCACGAGCGCTACAGTGTATTCGCGATCATTATCACTTTCCATCAAGTGGTCCGTGGCTTCTTTTTCATTTCATATTGCATAAAAAATATAGTATATAGTATTCGTTATGATCGGGTTCTTCTTTTCTATATTGTATATTAGATAACTGATACCTAATATATCTATTATTGGGTCAATATATGTATAGATATTGTAACTGCAATATATAGATATTATTACATATATATTTATTAACTAGTACTGCAATTACAGGTCAAACAAGATTTGGCCACATTATTGCCCATATGTATATTAATAACGATCGACCTTACAATTTTATTATATATTTTAAATTTTTATAATTTTATTATATGAATGTATTAATACGCAATGTTTTTCATACATATTTTATCCTAGAGTCAGGTACTATTGATGTAAACCCTGTTATAGCTTATCGTAACTTTGATTTATCAGAATTTTTAAAATTGTCAATAACATTACTATGATAAAATACAAGTGTTTATGTTACGAGTATGTATCAATATAATCAATCATCAAGTACATTTTATATAGTAATTTATTTTTTAACACGTGTATATATCGTTCCGCAAAAAAAAAAACGAATGTTGAATCTAAAAACATTCAAATTACACACTAACGCATGCACGCACGCACGCATGCGCGCACATCTAAAACCAACACAGAAGTAAATTCTATCGGTTAGATATAAAATTGTGACAATCGGTCCAGAATTTTTGGATAATCGTGTAAGATAACCACAAAAAATCAGATTCTTCTTCTTACTACCTTTTTAAAATTTCAGAGCAAGTAATAAAATTGGCGAGATGTGGTGGACATATCATACATCGCCTAATGTTTAAAATATTATTGTTTGCTAACCACGTTACTGTCCAGCCAAATGTAACAAGAGCTTAATAAATGTATTCAAACAGTAAATACTGTGTAGCCCTTGAATAGCATTCATCAGTCCTACCAAAGCTCCGACCTCAATGTCGCATGTTGGAGAGCGTGTTTGTTGCGACACGCGGGACCGGCGCCGGTCCTTAAAAGGCCCGTCTCCTGATCTCGAGGGTCACCGATACAACCACTCCTGGTCACCTATACACCAGCCTTACAGAGTCACCCCGCCACCCGTCTCTGTGGGTGAGTAGGTAACCGTGTAAACATACAATACCTTTTTTAACATACCAACAATACAATGTCTAGATAAGTCACGACTGAATGAATAATAAATACATTTTGTAATTACCTATATCTGTTTGAAATTGTATTTTACTTCGAATTAATATTTAATATATTTATTTAGATATTGGTAAAATTCTATGTTGTCTGTCGAGGCCAAAAGCAAAATACAGTGCGTTTAATATTTTTTTAATACAAGAGAGTATTCTTTAGAAAAGACCCGACTTAAAATATGGCACAACAAATTGTTTTGATTTAAAAATTAATCTACCCAACCGATTTTGATAACATCTTTATGGAACCAATCTGTAAGTATATAATTTCAGATAAAAAAGAATTTTGCAAATCAGTTCGCAACTGACGGACTTATGAGGTAACAAACTTAAAAAAATACAAGCGAATTGAGATCCTCTGTTATGTCCATTGTACTACAGATTTTTTGCCATTTTAAGTTGCATAAAAAGAAAAAAAAACTCCTTTTTGAAGTCAGTACCCAATTTAATCACAATAAAAACAAATATCTCTTCATGCAAATAGAATCAATGTTAACGTATAAATGCTAGTTGGCTAAGATAGACTAAAAACAACCATTGAAGTATAAAAAATAGAAACTTGAAGATTTTAGACACAAATACTGTTTGTTCGAACCCGCAACCGTCAGAAGGTGAGGCAAAAAACCGCTACACCACCAAGGCCGTACCACAGATTATAATAATATAATACTATACTGCCGTACACACCACGCTCTATATCTTTGAAACTTTTAATATGTTTATTTCATTAATATTTTAATATAAAACCGAAATATATTTTCTAACTCCCAATAAACATAAAACGGTCGTTAATATATATTCATTGAGGAAACGGTATATTATTACTTCTTTTTTTTACTACGACAATTTTAGGATACATTTTATCCACATTAATCTAATTAGTGTACTAGCTATATAATAAACTAGTGATTTGACCCGATTCCGCATCAGTAGATAGACATTTTAAAAATAACAGTTGAATAGTTTTTGAGTTTATCCATTACAAACAAATAAACAATCAAATCTTTCCTCTTTATAATAGTAAATACAAATAACAAACAACAAACTGACAAGCTCAGGTTTATGTTTATAGTTTAGGTAAGTTTTTACTGAAGACGTTAGCGGAGATCATCGGTTAAGACCTTTCTACATCCATTAGTTACAATTAAAGCGACATTTTATTCAACGAGTAAGTGGTGACATCTTTCGTGTCCGGTGCTACCAATGTGTTTCATACTCGTATCTTTGAAGACCGGTAAACACCGGAATTAATCTTAATTTTATAAAACTATCTCTAAAATTGTAATATAAATAAATCTGTACTAATGTTATTACAAGTAAAGATTTAATTTTTTGTTTATACTTGCAAAATTCTAAAAATACTTTCACCTTTAGACCATTACATTATCAGCGAGTAACACGTAGCAAGTGACTGTATGTTATTTAAAAAAAAAATACAAACGGGCGAGTCGCTAACTTAGAATAGAAATGAATATTATATACTTGTGAGCTACCATAGCAGTGATTATGATTTACTAATCATCATAATATAGATTTTAGAATAACGTTACACAAAAAGTGTATAGTGATAATTAGTTTTTAGAAAAAAAAAACCTTTATTTTAATAAGATTAAGATGATACTAATACCGGACCCAAACTCTTAGAATTATATAAATAAATACAAATATATATTATATAAATAAATTCAATAAATACAAATATAAAATAATAATCAAAATCGTTTAATATATACCAAAAACAAATGCCTATAAATTGATAAATGCCGATATCTAAACAAATATTTAAATATATAGAAAAAAATATAATATAGAGAAAAAAAATTTTTTTTGTTGTAATGGCTAAATTAAAAAATACTCAGTTGATTTAAAAAATTCTTTATCCTATAGAAAGCTACATTATCAGCGAGTAACAAAGTGTATTTTATTTCAAAAAAATAAATTATCTTCTACCTTTCTACCCATATGAAAACGAGGTGGGTCACTAGTACTTAAATAAAACAAAGTCATTCTCTGCCATTTTCATTGATCCTATAATTGCAACGTAATATAATGAAATATCGTAATTGGAGTCGATACAAAAGAACGATGTATCGTACAGGTGTACAAATCCAATTCATAAATGTTCATACCGTATCATTTAACTCAATTGCTTGTGTAAGCATTCAATTTAATCACACGGGTCGTGTGTAACCAGATTTTTACTCCATTGCAATATAATACAGGTGTCGTACAATATAATTACATATAATACCTACCTACTTATATAATACATGTTAAAATAAATGAATATATTACTTACATTAGAAATTTGGTTTAATGATTTTAAGATTTGATAGTTTAATTAGAAAAATAAAAAAAAATACTCAAGGGAAAGAAAATGTGATCAACCTTTTCTTGAAAGAGGTATTAGAGGGACTCTCTTGTATGTGGGAAGGGAGTTTGTTCCATAACTGGACAGCTCAATACGAGAAAGAATTGCCCATAAAATGTGTCCTACATAAAGTTTATTTATTTATTTAACTTTTATCTATGTCACAAAGGTACATATAGCGAATATAAAACCTAAAAGCATTCTCTACCAGTCAACCACGAAGCAATTAAAGATATTTGGTGACGGTACTTTAAAAGGGAAACTATATAAAAATTCATGGAATAACATAAACTTTATCTCTGCTGTTTAAGAACTTATGTATAAAACTAATTTAAAAAGTGGGTAACTATATTTTCTGATATCAAAAA